CTGATCCTGGGTTTGTGGTCAATACCATGGCTACAATATATTTTTCTTTCCAAGTGTTCTTCCTCATCCTAGAACTACAGCACAGTACCAACAAGCTCTGCGTTCCTGAGCACCCTGCCCGTGCTGGAGAAGGTTCAGTAAATGACAACACACAAGAGACTGTCAGACACAATGAACCAAAGTTGCTCAGGATCTGTAATCACACAGAAGAAACATGGATGAAGCAGGATTCAAAATGGTACGTGTAGAGTCGGCAACCGTTTTGGAAAAATACACAGGGAAAAAAGATCAGAAGGAAAAACAACCAAACGCTTTTCCAGTAGGTTGTTTCCCCTTCCTTTCTATTTTCTGTATTTCCTGAAGCTGACAGTGTGCATATGTCACTTTTATAATTGAGGAGACAAATTTAAAAACCTTAAATGCTGTAAAGCATTTTCCTATCCCACAGATTCAGTAACCCCACTGCCTACACCACACTGCTTACCCGATGTCCTTGACAACTGACAGAGTCTTGTGTAATCAACAGCAGACGCTTGTAACTCCTGGAACTCTTACATGCTCATGTCAAGGGGCTGCTGGTTATTAAACCCTGCTAAATGCTTTCGTACACAGCATATCAAATCCTCAGGTCCACTGACCAGTAGGTCCTATTAGTATCCTTTCTCTAAAGAAACATAAACCAGAGCTCAGAGAGGTTAAGGCCCCGGCCAAGGTCACACAGCACAAAAACACCATGCTGAGAGTACCACCCAGGTGTGTCTGACTCTGTGGCCTGGGCACCTAAGCACTCTCTCTGCTGACCACCCTTGCCCCCAAGAGAAGAAACACCTGCCCCAGATTGCAATCTCCTGGATCAGATTTTAAAAAACCCAAGTAAAATAAAAAAAACCCCAACCCTTTTGTGGCACTCACCTCTGTCTTCTTATCTCCTCAGCAGTGTTCGTCTGCCTGCCCTCTCACTTGCTCGTTTCCTGTTTTGTTTTTTTTTCATTTTTTTTCACATAACTAATCACTCAGTTACCAACTTAGCTTTCCGAAGCCTGAGTCGGTACCTAGTGACTCTATGCGCGCGATAAAGGAACCAGCCGTCACCGATACAGAAGTCAGAGAGGTTTAAATCAAATCATCCTCCACAACAATGACATTAATTATGCTTTTAACACGTTTTACTGCTTTTTTTCTCACTTCACGCCACATCTGTGTGAACAATATCCAAAAGATTTACGGTTTTCTTTCGTAATTACAGACATACAGGCTGCACACTTATCAAAATACTTGCTGAGCAATCACGCTATATCGCATTCTCTGCCAAAGATCTGTGTTGGCAGCAGTCACTCAAAACAAAAATGTTGAATCAGGACTTGTGTGGCTTCTGGGGCGGGGGGAGCATTTCGACAAATAATTTGCCTGTCAAGAAATATAAAAACAGGACAGAGCAGATCCTGGCAGATTTTCCAGGAGTGTTATTTTTATGGAGGGGGTTGGGGCGGACAGTGAACAAGGAAGCTCGGAGCGCCCCAAACACATCTGACATTTGGTTCTTGTATCTGAGGATAAAATTTAATGAGAACAAAAATATGTCTTCCTAATTCCCCTAAGAAATCATTAAAACATTTTGTTATTCTTAAATGTCTTGAAAATGAATTAGAGGCCCTAAAGGGGCCGTTTGTATGGTACGTCTCCATCAGTTAAGGCTCCTCATTCTCCAGCTCGGTGACAGCTGGGGACGGCTCCCCCGCCCCTCCCTTCCTGGGGAGGAAGCTGGGAAATTAGACTGGTGGAGTCGGCGCCAGGCTCGGGATGACCTCCCTGCTCTGGGCTTTGGGGAGAGGGGCGAGAGGGCACATGGACCTTCCAGAAGGCTCCATACCAACCTTGGGCGCTCCCATGGCCCTTGGCTGGCCCTGTGACTGTTTTGACAGCCTTGTCTCCAGAAAGATGAGGGTCCCATAACGAACCCCCAAAATGAAGACTTATTTCCGAGAGGGCAGGGGAGTAAGTCCCTCTTGCTGCTTCCCTTTGTCTGTCTGTCCCTCCACACCCAAGCACGTCCCCTGCATTCACAATGACAGGTTATTTGACCAATGATTTGGTTGCTTCTTGCACCCAAATGCGGGCATCTGAGGGCTGAGTGCGTGTCTGTGTCTGCGGCTCACAGCTAGGTTCCCAGCGTCTCCCAAGTGCCAGGCACACAGCAGGCACCCAATAAATGCTAGCTAAAATGAGCAGAGGGCCCTAGCTGAGAAAGAATTGTTTTGCTCCAATAACCCTTCTTCCCGCTTCTGTTGCTGAGTCTTATTTCTAATATCCAACAATTATTAGGTGCCTACTGTGTACCGGGTCCTGGGTATACAAATTTAGTATGACTCAGTCCCAGGCTTGAGCATTTCACATCTCCTAGGGAAGCCAGATAATGAGAGTAGCTAACATTTAGTAAGCACCTACTGTGTACCATTCACCTTGAAGCCTCTCAACAACCAAATGAGGCAGGTTCTAATATTATTCCCAATTTACAGAAGAGGAGACTGAGGAGAGCTCAGGAAGGTGTTTTTTTTTTTTTTTTTTTTTTTTTGAGACAGAGTCTCACTCTGCTGCCCGGGCTAGAGTGCCGTGGTGTCAGCCTAGCTCACAGCAACCTCAAACTCCTGGGCTCAAGCGATCCTACTGCCTCAGCCTCCCGAGTAGCTGGGACTACAGGCATGTGCCACCATGCCCGGCTAATTTTTTCTATATATTTTTAGTTGTCCGATTAATTTCTTTCTATTTTTAGTAGAGACGGGGTCTCGCTCTTGCTCAGGCTGGTTTCGAACTCCTGAGCTCAAACAATCCGCCCGCCTCGGCCTCCCAGAGAGCTAGGATTACAGGCGTGAGCCACAGCGCCCGGCCAGGAAGGTGACTTTTTAATTCATCTACAGTCACACAGTAGTAAGGGGGAAGCGCAAGCCCGACTCAGTGCTGCCCCCTGGTGCTACAGGCGCGGTACTACGGGGCCCTGTGGAGGAGCCCAGTGTGGGGACCCCTGGGAGGCAGCTCTAAGGTCTGTAACTGGGTCAACTTCCAATGTCCTTTGTCGCTGAGATGGTGGGGACCCAAAGGACTGAAAAGGGTGGGAAATAAGAGGGTGCATTTTTCTAGATACTACTGATGACACTGGAGCTAATATAAGCAAAAAGGCTGCAAGGAATGGTGCCACTCGGCCTCTTGGCCATGCACGTGGTGTGGCCCTCAGTGAGGGTGCTAATGACTTGGCCTGAAGACACATGATCCATCTGTGCCTCGTGCCAAGGGGCCATGAGCTCACGGGAAACACAGAGCCCACAGCTGTGCTGTTCAGCTCCTGTCATTCCTGCTGCCAAAACGTTCACTACCGAGCAGAGGCACGTGGCAGCCACGCTGTGCTGCTGTGAGTGCGCGACCTGGGTGGCGCATGGGACCAGGCAGCAGACGCCTGTGTACGGCTGAAGGTTGGCCCCCCAGAGGATACCTCCACGTTCTAACCTCTGGGACCTGTAATGTGACTTTATTTAAAGTGTCTTTACAGATATAAACAAGTTAAGGATCTTGAGATGAAAATCAGTCTGGATTATGCGGGTGGGCCCTAAATCCAACGGGAAATGTCCATACAGGAGACAGGAAACAGCGACACAGAGGAGGAGCCATGTGACAACTGAGGCAGAGACTGGAATGATGTGGCCACAAGCCAAGGGATGCCAGGAGCCACCAGAAGTTGGAAGAGGCAAGGAAGGATCCTCCCCTAGAGACTTCAGAGCACACATGCCCTGGGGACACCCTGACCTTGGACATGCGCCTCCAGCACTATGAGGGGATAAATTCCTATTGTTTTGAGACATTAAGGTCATGGTAGTTTGTTACAGCAGCCCTAGGAAACGAACACAGCCTTCCACGTGTAGCCAGCTTGTCACACAGAACAGACACCCTGGAAGTATCTGTTGAATGCGGCAAGACCTGAGCCACATCTCTCCCCGGCTGCGAGACCTCGTGCATCAGGCTCACCCCTCTATGCTGTAAGGAAGGGGACTGGTTGGGCCTGTTCCCTGCGGGCTTGTAACATGCAGAGTGTAGAACAAATGCAACTTCTACATGAGACCAGCACTTCTCAAACTTGAATGTGCTCACAGACCCCCACGGGGAGCTGCTAAAATGCAGAGGCTGAATCAGTGGGTGTAGGTTGGGGCCTGAGACCTTGCATTTCTAACCGGCTTGCAGGTGCAGCCCACGCTGCTGGCCCATGGACCACACTTTGAGTAGCAAATGGAATCATACAGTATGTGCTCTTTGGGGTCTCGGTTTCACTCGATGTCAAGTTTTCCTGAGGCAGTGTCTTGCTCTGTTGCTGGGGCTAGAGTGCAGCAGCATCATAGCTCGCAGCAACCTCAAGCTCCTGGGCTCAAGTGATCCTCCTGCCTCAGCCTCCTCAGTAGCTGGGACTACAGGTGCACACCACTGTGCCCAGCTAATTTTTCTATTGTTAATAGAGATGGGGTCTCACTCTTGCTCAGGCTGGTCTTGAACTCCTGGCCTCAAGCGATCCTCCTGCCTTGGCCTCCCAGAGTGCTAGGATTATAGGCGTGAGCCACCGTGCCCGGCCTAAATGTTAAGTTTTTGAGGTTGGCTGTGCCATTCTGGGGGAATGTTTGCAGGCCTGCCTCCATCGCCACCTGCTGGCAGAGAGCGCCTTTTGTTCTCCGTGGCAATGGGATGGGGGTTCCAGGGGCAAGATGCCCCACTCCCCAATGAGGTCCAGGTGGGATATCTCACCAGGAGTCCCCCAATGCAGGCTCCTGGCTGACACTGCAAGATGGAGGGAGCCACGTGGCGACATGTCACACCAGATGTAGCCCCCATCTACGGAGAGCCTAGTCTCACCTGGGAGTTCAGGCCTATCCCCAGAGCCCACTGCACGGAAGGCCCTGTGTAACAGTCCTAATGGCAGTTTCTTGTCATTAATTATTCAATTATGGAGCCCAAGAGTTTCTTACCTGGTGCTTCAATTAATTGCTTGTAAACACTCAGAAAAGCGGCCTCCGCCTCCTGACTTCTCTTACTAAGGGCCACCACCTTTGGAAACAAGAGAAAGAGTCACGCGTAACCATGTCATCTGGGTCTGCAAGCAAATCTGATCATTTTCTATGTGTGCAAACACTGGAGGGGAGTGGGGCGAAGTGAATGTTAAAAGTGTGGGCTCTGGAGTTAGGAAATCTGGGTTCAAAGCCCAGCTCCACTGTGTCTAGGCTGTGGGACCTTGGGAAGTCACTGCTCCTCTCTGATCCTTAGTTTCCTCCCCTGTAAAATGCCGGGGGCTGGGGGTGCTGGTAAATAACAGGACCTACCTCCTGGGCCTGCTCTGGGGATTAAATGGAGCCGGGGGCCTGGCAGCACACAAGTTTAATTTTTTTTATTATTATTATTTATTTAGAGACAAAAGCCTGTCACTCAGGTTATCGCAGCTCACTGCAGCCTTGAACTCCTGGGCTCAAGCAACCCCCTCGCCCCGGCCTCCCAAAGCACTGGGATTATAGGTGTGGGCCACCGCTCCCAGCTCCACAGTGGGTTCTGAACAGCTATTCTTCTTCTTGTTATTAAAGGGCGCGCTGGAAGTTCAAATATGGCACGTTTTTTGGGGAAAGTGAGACACATCTGGGGACTATTACTTGCCACTGAAAATTACGGATAAATTGTTGAAGCTCTTGTAAGATATCGAAGAGCTTCCACAAGCACTGGAGGGTAACAGGGTTATGGGAAACAGTTCCTGGCATGCTGAAGGTGCTCAATAAATGTTTCTTGACTGGATGAGTAACTGAATGGCAGGATGACCCAGAGGCACAGAGCTACATTCCTGCGGTCATTCCCTTGCTCGTGGAGCCTTCTCATTCTGCCAATGAGACTTCCTCAGGTGCTCGTGGGTGAGACGGATGCCATCCTGCAGCGTGTGGATGGACGTCTCTCGAAGGCCTGGTGGCTGCTGAATTTCTAGAACTCAGCACCATCTCATCCCTCTGCGGGAGGATATTAATTTCAGAGCTCTGGCCTCACAGCCACCTTGATTGTGGCTCTTGGTGGCCTGTCCCAGTGGAAGAATCCTGGGCCTCACACGTCTGGAGGGAGCTCCTGGCACCCACAGGCCACCATCCCTACATCTGCAAGGCTGCTCTGGGCTGTGTGTCCCGCTTTGGGCTGGAATGAGCCTTATCCTCCCCGGCACCAACGTCCTAAATGATGAGTCTACTCAGCGCATTTCCTCGTCAGTCTACCTCTATCAGAGCTGGGCTTTTCTGATAAATGTTGATGGAGTCACTAGAAGAGGAGGAGGGGAGCGTCTGTTATTGAATTCCTCTCCTTAAAATGAGCTGTGAGAGCACTGCTGGCACATAGTAGGTGCTCAACATAATTTGCCAAATGATCAAATCCAAGTGCGTTGCCCCAATTCTAAGACCTGTGACCTAGATAATTCCTTTACTCCCCACCGGCAAAGCCCATTTCTGAGACAGTCTGTTCACAGAGGTGGCCAACTGAGGCACAGGCCCTGGAGCTAGCCTGCCTGGGTTCAAATCCCAGCTCTGCCACTCACGAGCTACGTGTCCGTGGGCAGGTAGTCACTTAAAACCATGGCCTCTATATCCCCATTTGTGGACTGGTGAAAATAATACAACCACCTCCCTCAAAGGGGTACTGGGAGAATGGAATGATTTAACACGTGTGATAATGCCCTTTGAATAACCCCTGGCACGCATCAGGCCCCACAGATACGTCACCTCTAGGTATAACCTGTCTCTTTCTTTTGCCTGGGACCATGACAGGTTCTACCCGGTGCTGGCTGATGACCTCGGCTGTGCTTGTGTCTGGAGTCTCACAAAGACTACCCGAGAAAGGCCCTGCCCTCTCCACGCACGGCAGTGCGCTTTGGCAGGAAGAATGTGAAAACCACGTTGGTTCAATGCGGCCGCCACGAACCACGTGCGGCTCCCGAGCGCTAGCAACGTGGAGAGTCCAAATCGAGATGTGCTGAGTGTAAGATACGCACCAGATTCTAAAGACTAAGTAGAAGACAGTGTAACAGCTCATCAACTTTTTAATACTGATTACATATCAAAGTGATAACATGTAATCACTTTTTACTTTTTTTTAATGTGGCTACTAGAAAATATAAAGTTATTTCTGTGGATCACATTATATTTCTATTAGATAGCAGAGTTCAAAGATTTTACAAGGCCCATACAGAATTTATTATTTAAGAGACGTGCAGAGAAGTGTATGGTGGATGTTGAACGTGTGAACAAGTGATGTAAAAAAGTCAGTTATAAAAGCTCCTCAATCTCACTCATTGTTAACCCAAGAAAGTCCCTCGTCTCTCACCTTCCAGAGTGGATGATGGTCTCTTATTCACTCAACATTTCCTGAGCACCTGCTAAGTGCCAAGCACTGACGACTGAGAAACCCAACATGAATATCACAGACTTGGACCCCACCGCTGCGGGACGTGCAGGCCCATGGGGACGCTGACATTGAGGCCCGTTCCCCAGATGATTCTCTGATTCCAAGTGCTGAATGCTTGGAAGACAAAGTACAGGGGGGCCTTGAGGGCGTGGAAGTGGGGGGAGGCTGACCCAGTTTGGTGGTGGAACATTAAGAATTATCGCCCCAAGAAGTACAAGCTGGTGGGGGGAGGGCAGAAAGAATGTTCTAGAATCGAGGGAAAGGGAAAATTACCACACAGGCAAGTAGAGAGATTTTTATTCTTGCTGAGATGGACAAGACGCCGCTCCTGCTCTGGGCACTTGCAGCTGAGTGGGAGACACGGCTACACCCAGGAGGAAGCACTGCACGGGAGGAGGTGCAAATGCCGGAGGCTCCAGTGAGGAGGGGGCAGTTTGTTCCGTTTGGGGGTATCCCCGATGGGCTAATGATAATAATAACGACGACATAACACTGAACGTTCTCCACGTGCCAGATGCTCTATTCGTGATCATCTATTTCCACAGACACACCGACCACTGAATTGCCGCTGCCCTTATCCCCATAGCACAGATGAGGAAACTGAGGCTCAGTGAGGTTAATCCACTTGCCCAAGGTCCCCCAGTTAGTAAATGGCAGGGCCAGGATTCAGACCAGGTCTGGGGACTCAAATTGCTGTTCTGAATCCAGATGCCGACCCCCTGGATAGAAAAACCATCCCAGACAGTGCAGCCGGCCACTCAGACCCCACGCGGACGCCGCCGCCGCCTCAAAAGTCGTCTACGGCTGCACTAGGTTAGAGGCTGCGGCGCTGGCAACCCGGCGCCCAGGAAACTCACGAGAAACAAAAGCAATTCATCTCTCGATCCCGGGACGGACAATGATCAAAGATGAGCTGGAGCAAGGGCTGAGTGCTCCATTCTACAGCTGCCCGTGCTGAGCAGGAGTGGTGGCTGGGGTTTGGGTAGGCACGGACTTCTAAAAAGGACCTCGAAGCAGGGGTGGGAGAAAGTGCCAGAAGATTTCTTTAATATTTTCCCATCCCCGCCCACAGCACTCCCTACGTTCCCTACACGGCACTCATCGGTTTGCGATGGTGTATCATTTCTCCCTGAGACTGTCTCCTTGCAATGTCGGTTTTCCCCACTGAGCTGAGCTGTCTCAGATGGCAGCCACCAGCCTCTGTGCCACTGAGCACTTGAGATGTGACTATTCTCAGCTGAGATGAGCTGTAAGATACAGATTTCGAAGTCTTAGAATGAAAAAGGAATGTAAAATATCCAAATATTTTTTAATATTGATTACATGTTGAAATAATATTATTGCCAAGTTAATTAAAAGATATTATTAAAATTAAATTTACCTGCTTCTTACTTTTTAAAATGTTGCTACCAGAAAATTTTAAATTACATGTGTGGTTTGTATTCTATTTCTACTGGGCAATGATGATCTGATTGTTTGAGGGTTGCTAAAACTACGGCCCTTCATCTGTTTGTGCAAATAAAGTTTTACTGGAACACAGCCACAGCTGTTCTGTTTTTTTATTGTCTGTGGCTGCTTTCACTCTACAAGGGCACAGTTGTGTAGCTGTGACAGAAACCCTGTGGTCTGCAGAGCTAAAAATGTTTACTATTTGGCCTCTTACAGAAAAAGTTTGGTGACCCCTGCTTTAGGGGTTCATCTAATGGCTGGACAATATTTTCAAAAGCAGAGATCAAAAAGCATCCTGGAATGGCACTCAGTGTGAATCAGTTCATGTTTAGGGCTTCCCAAAGTAAACACGACTCTCAAAGACAGGAGCTGTTTCGATGTCCTGCCTCGTTCAGTCCTGTTTCAGAGCAACGACCCTGGTGTATAGAAAGCCTTAAATTCCTGATGGCGTCAGAGCCTGACTGGTACTGGCCGTAATGTCACTAAGCATCAGTTTGTTCAGTTTGGCCTCAGTTTGCTCATCCATCAAGTGGGAAGAGTAATCTGCACCTGCCTATGAAGCTGTTGGGGCAGGATGAGATAACATGTAGCAAAGAGCCCCGTGGAAGCTGACAAAACTTTCTCATAAATCAGATGTTTCTTCTTCTAACCCCACAGGATGTCTGCCCCCAGTGCTGCAACCCTGCTGCATTTCACCCATGTGCCCAGAACAGGTGAGCCTGGCATAAAGAAAAGGCCATGTTCAATAAAAGGCCATGTGTTCCTGCCTCATGGCTGTGCCTTACACGCAGAAGGGCGGCAGAAAAGTGTCCAGAACGACAGATTTGGGTCGTAACCGGAAGATCTCTGAAGGCCATCCAGGGAAGGAGGAGGCGGCGGTGGCGGTGGCCAGCTACAGACACCCTCAAGAAGGTCACCATCAGAAACAGCTCAGCGTCTGAGGGAGCATGCAGCATTTACACGGCCCGCTGTGATATAAGGGGTGACAGTGTGTTTGGTCCCCCATGGATGAACATAACAGGTGTAGAGTCGCAGCCAGAGGAGAAGCGAAGCCCGTCCCGGCCACCTAGCTTTTGTCTGCCAGGTGGTTAAAAACAGGAACTTTGGGATCCCCCCGCCCCCTTGCTCCACCACCCCGGCTGAGCTCCCACGAGCTGTCTGAGGTGGCAGTGACT